TTTGTAAAATTGTTTCAAAACGTGCTATATAAATAAAGCTTATCAGTATGCTATGTGTTTCTGAACACACGTTTCTGAGCTGCAGTTACTGGCCACACCAGCTTTTCCAGTGTTTATGGTTTTCTTATGCTGGTATCTCTCTGCAATCCTTTTGTCTCTGCCCCTTTACTCGAACCCCAACCGATCGAGGCAGATGGCTGCCCTCTCTGGTTCTGCAGGAGGTTTTTTCTATTAAAAGAGAGTATTTTTTCTTCTCCTGTGGCCAAAGAGCCTGTTCAGAGGACTCTTTGGATTTATTGGTTCTCGCTCTTGAAAAAAAAAATGTTTCAAGCTAACTATGCAAAGTGCCTCGAGATGATTTATCTTGTGACTTTTATACATAAAACTTAATTCAACAGGATTAATATTATTAATATTAAAAGGCAGTAGAATTATTTAGTAACCCTGACTTGTTTACATAGTTCTGCAGTGGGAACAGTTTCTTCCTGAACAAACTCTTGAACTATGAGTGGTTAAATGATAAACACCTTTGAGTGATATTTTAACCATAGCCTTAATAGAGCAAAGGATACAGTAGATTTTTAGAAATGCACTTGCTTGTGTCTCTACCATTTATTAGAACTCCTGTGAGATGAGTACAGATGGAGAAATCCTAAGTTACTGAAGCTAACATTTACTGTATTTAAAAGATGGAAAACTGCAAGACCTATTTTATGGGAGGTGCAACTATTCACCTGACGCAGTATTCAGAAGTACTGATGTACAAACCTATAATATATATATATATAGTGACAACTTTGCTACTCCTTTCCTACAGACAAATAAACTATGAATGTGAAATGCACGTATCTGTCTCCAAGAGACCATAAACTGTAACTGTTATAAGGAGCCAATGTATTTATCTGCACCCTTAAAAATTTCTTTATTGCATCAAGAAACATTCAGCTTCTCATGATCTGTTTGCAGGAGCCAGTTTGGGCTTGAAACATTGTACTTTTATTAATATAAGGTCATTTTTTTTTTGCAGGGTGCAGATAATAGTGTTCGGGGTATTTGCAACATATATACAACCTTTCTTATGAAACTTGGATGGAGCTGGCCTTTCTCCAAAGGATCCAAAGCATTTTTTCTTGTACAGTTTTAAAACGGTAGCTTGCACATATCGACATGCAGTTACAGGTCAAAGAAAATAAGCAAAGATCTCAGCTTTTTCTCACAATTTACAACAAAAACATGTATTAACTACATGTATTACAATTCTTGTTATATAACACAGATTCCCTAATGCTCAGGTATGTTTCAGGCAAGACTCTTCCAAAAACATCAGAGTCTTTGTCCGTCGAAGGAAACTGTGATGTCACAGAAATTTGGAATCATTTCATCACTTGCAAAGTCACTCTCCTTTTAAATTAGCCTTTCTGGAAAGCTTTCTGAAGACAAGAATAAAGCAGACAGCAGACTAGACAATCCTCCATTTTATTCCAGTTATGTGCACAGTAGATCACTGTAGGAAGCAAACACAGTATACGCGGTAATCAGTCAACAGCTCACGCTCACCATTGGACTGAAATCAAATCCACATCTCTCTGCATGTCATGTTGGGAGCCACACAGCATTATTGCTAGAAACCACATAACATGTCAAACTAGATGTTTAATGGTGCCACATACAGTCCACTGAAACGTTCCTCTAAGATGTAAAATAAACTTGTTTGACCTCAACCAGGACTGACCACAAGAACGAGAAAAATGACAGAGACACCGCCGCTGCTGCTGCTGCTGCTGCTGCTGTTTCATGACTGTTCTGAAGGTTGGAGTTATATCAGCATTTGGAAAGATGGAAGACATTCTCTGTGGGCGTCAGTAAATTAGTATTACCTTTGCTATGTTTGCAGGATGTGAGATAAACTGCTCTGAAAAGTAGAAAAATCAAACCAGGTCATTAGGATTTTACTCTCTTAAGCTGAAGTATTCAGGAAAAGACATCATCATTAAGGCATCACACCGTTCATCTCCATATTTGATTCCAGTGCTGGGCCTCTTTGGCTCTTTAGCATTTCCGCTCAAAGCAGACAAATCTTCAGTCTCTGAGTTTTACACACTGCAGCAAAGATGCATACAGCAGCCACGATTTTGATTACTTGTCCAACATGTGACAAAATACCAAAGTATGGATCATCTACTGTGTAAAAATGTGACATGATGGTAAAAATGTGGTCGCAGGACTGATTCTGGAGAGTTAAAAGTGCCTGCTGCTCCATTTAGATGACAGGTGGAGTGATGAAGTCTAACAGTCTAAAGTTCAATTTTCCTGTCTGGGGGGGAAGCTGTTTTCAATGGGACAGCTTTGTACTTTAATCGCCTCCTGTCTCATGAAACTCGAGGAAGAATAGTGCACACGGTCATACTAATGGCTTACCAGCTAAGAAGTGAATGAAAACCCCTCGTCATATTTGCAGTTTTGCTAAAAAGAAAAAAAAAGAAGAAGAAGACAGGTTCAGTTCATTTTCATCCAGACAGTCTCAGGTGGCATAACAATATGCCTATTTTCTTTATGCTGCTTCACACGCAGCGTATCTTTGATCCTTCTGCTTGGATACACCTCCGATAAACTGTAGCATAAAAACGTAAAGATTCATCAAAACTGTAACAATCCGTCAGACAGCTCAGAAAAATATTAAGCAAAACATAGTGAGTTCAAGAATTACAAAAGTTAAAACAATCATAAAATCTATTTTAACGCCTCCAGTGTCCTTAAACCAGCTGACGTGACCTAGTAAGAATATATAAATATATTGATATATTGCTTTATTGATGATATAGTCCTAAAACATAATGCTAAACTTCTAAACAGGAGCTGCGGAAGGCAAGAAAAGCCTCGCAGCGACGAATCACGATTAAATTCAGGCTCACGTCAAAGACTTTAGATGCTCAGTTAAGTCATGGCTCAAGTAAAGACCGACTGACACAACTTTGAAGAAAACACTGACATAGAGTAACCGTTATATGCAAAGTGTTTCTAAAACAAACGGACACTCCAGATAAGTAAAGAAACGTCATAGGTTTTGCCCTGTTTCTTCGCACAGCATTTATAATGACTCCTCTATTATAAGGCAGTAATTGCAGTGGGGTACTAAATGGACAACAGTGAATTCATAATTGGCACTGATATATGCAAGCAAGAGCATAAAGAGTATTTTCTCCATTAAAATATTGTCTTAATTGGATTTTTTTTAATTCCTTTTTTTTTTTTTTACTGCTTTCTTCATGCTATTTGCTCAGTGTTACACTAGGGGCCACCACTTGCATGTGTTTTGTTATGAGAGGACGCACACGTCCCTCGTCTTGTCCTTTACAGCACAGTAAATGTCTTTGTGTGCATGTTGCTACACAGGGACTTTGTAAAATGTGTAAAAATGAGAACACACTGCAAACAGACCGTCCTGTAAATCCATCAGACCGTGCTTCATTTGAACCCACACCAAAAGCTACACTTGTGTTTTTTTTGTTTCCTGAGGTGAAAAGAAACCCCAACACATAAACCTCAAACACAAATAGGCTGAAGTAGGAGTTGTCTGTTTGTGTGTGTATGTGTGTGTGTGTGTGTTCAGTACACAAACCACACCTGAGTAAAACACATGGTCCAACGAGTCAGAAGTGAGTATCACTTGAATGTGGCCTGTTTGTACAAAGCAGAGGAAGAGCAGCACTCTGGTGCCTCAATGCATCGCTTAGAAAAACACCACCAACTAAATTTCACATTATTTAGTGCGAGAGGCAAAACCTCACTGCTGTCTGACGTCTCCTCCACCTAAGACAGGCACTGATAGAAGAACAAATTTAGTTTTTACCTATAAGGATTTAAGTTAACAACTTGCAATGTATAATAATTTAAAAAACATAGAACGAGAAGGCTGACGAGTTTTTAACAACATGAGTGATATGTATTTATATTTTTGATGTTCTGTGTGTTTAATATGGATTATGTGTGATATGTAAGATGGTGTGTGATTGCTTTTTTTTTGTCTTATTTTTATAATAGACCTACAATCTGAGATTAAAAAATACATAAATAAATGAGAAGAATGTCGTTAAATAGAGGTCAGTGTGCAATGACCTTTAAGTATGTTACATTATGGACACTTACCAAAGCAGTAAAGGCAGGCTGTGGTAAAAACATGATCGAGTTGCAAAGTTTGTTTGTAGTCAGTTGAAACTGTGGTTTGCTTATCGACTTTTTTCACAGCAGATGTTTTGACTTGTTTTAGGAGGAAAACGGTTCCTGTCTGAAATCATTCCCTAGCTGGGAATTTAAGAATGAGACTTGGTAAAGTGATTATATACAACAATCAGCATTACTGGTCTGCGCACAATAAGACAGCATTTTACTATTATTTTTGACAATTTGGTAAACGAAAATATCCAATATTATATTAAGTACATTAAATCACAATTAGCAGAACTAGTCATAAATTGTTTCGCTATTTGTTTCCTATTCTGACCATTTTGGCGCAGATAGTTTTTCTTTAACACTGGCGGAAGCCTCTTTGAGAAATTTCTCCATGCAGAAAAACCCTGCATAGTTACAGTGTGCTACATTTACTGGCTGCCATTTTATCTGGATTCCCAAATTCTGAGTGTGTAAATTTGTCCACTGAACAGGCCCTCAAACAATTCACAACGGAAAAAATGTGTCCTGCTGTCTGCTAAAAATCACCCAATGAAGCGTAGAGCCCGGCCGATATATTGGTTGGCTGACATTGCTGATATTCGCCTTTCATAAATATATTGTTGTCAATATATATGTTGTCCAAAAAGATGATTGTTGTAATTTGTACAATCACATTGTTTGTCCAGCAGAGCACTTAAGCTCCATTGTTTGCAATCTTCATATTGCTGCAGCACATGTAGCAGAGTACATATCACAACTGGGTAGATGGTGGTGCTGAGTCAAGTGGTGTCTTCATGGTAAATTGCTGACTAGTTTATGAACAACATTGCTGGAAAGGTAATCAACAATATTTACTTTTCAATATCACTGTTACATATATAAAAAGTATTAGCCAACATAATGATATCACTATTTCTTACTCCCTAAAATCAGTATCGGTCGGGCTCTAATGCAGTGCATAATACTGATGAGAAAATCTATGCTGTGCACCTCTAAAGCTGTCAGTAATGACGAGATGATGATGATGATGTTTCAAAAACTGTGTTTACTGCTACTATGTACCATTGAGTAAACAATTCAGTGCATATGCTATAAGGAGAAGTGAAAGAAATGAGCAAGACAGTTATTTCAGAAGCAGCCCGACTGTTGTGCATCCTGGCTCAGTGGCAAAGCTTCCTGAGACACCTAAAGGGACCGTAATAACCGTTATTGTCATTATCTGCTGCGAAGAAGGTCTACCTCACCAGGGAAAGCTAACTGAAGCTTTATTATTGTCGCTACGAGCACTTAGTACCTTGCACAGTGATTTTAAAACTGCTGACCAGCCTGTTGTGCCCTCAAACATTGTTTCTTGTCGCACTGCCCTCTGTTGTTGCGGCCTCGGTTCACTGTCGCAGAGATAAACAACTCCAGAGTGGACACCTCCCAGCCAGGCAGACAAGTATCTTCTGTGGATAAGGTGTAAAATATGATATATGAACCTAGTATGTAGCAGTGTGGTGTTTAGTGATCATGGATTTTTAAAAAAAAGAAATTAAAAAAAGAAAGAATTGCAAGTTACTGTTTCTATTCTGTTCTATTTAAAGAAAGGGGAAACATACTTTGATCAATAGTTTTCTGGAAGTGTCCACCATCTCATATATTTTCAGCTGTGACTCAGTCGGTGGCCACACAAACGTTTGGCCACATGGTCTGATTTACGGTTGGCCTTGAAAGCTCACAGTTGTTTGGGTCACCCAACTGGGCTTGGAGTCCACTTTAAACTCACTATAAATCAAAAGGGGCCTACTTGGAAAACAGGCCCCGCAGTATACAGAGCGCTCAACAGCAGTGTAAACAGACCCTCCTCATTTCAAAGACGGACTTAAAGTGACACTGACTTCTGCTTAGCAAGTTATTTAAGGTTATATCAAAGTCCATTAAAAAAAAAAAAAAAAAAAAAAACTGTCTGTTGTAAGTGTAATATCATTAATAACTAAAATCAGCCTCAGTATCAATTCAGTCAAGGTGCAGAACAGTTAACAGCATTAACAGTCTGACAGGAGAGAATCATACAGTAGTTAAAAGCACACGTCGAAGTAGTTATTAATCTGCCTTCGTCTCAGCAGCAGGGGGCGCTGCTGCTGAAGACACCAGTCTGGCAGCTTCATCCTTGGGCTCCACTGGCCCTTCTCCACCTCCCTCCTCCTCATTTTCCTTCTCCAGGCCCAGCGGAGGTTGTCTCTGAGCGTGCCTGGAGCGAGCTCTGTGCCTCCGAGGGTGGAGGAAGAGCGCGGGGTCGGGCATGGCCGTGGGCTCTGCAGGACCCATCACTTTCTCTATGGGCACACACTCCCGGGCGCGCTCCACTCTCGAGGATGCCCTGACGCTCTTCCGCTTGGGTTTAACCACGGGGGAGGAAGGAGAGGCTTCGGACAGCATCTGTGAAGAAACAGAGTTCTGCTCGGCACTATACTGGGCCCCCTGACTATTGGCTCTGGCGAGGAGTCCCTGCCTCTGCTGCATCCGCTGGTGGTGCAGTTTCTGCCTGGCAGCATGCAGCTGGAAGGAGAGGTACGCTGCTGCCTCCGTTTGCTTCTGCAGCTCTGTGTTGAGGACGGTCGAGCAGTGGCTGCGGCGCTTCAACTCCTCCAGAAAGTGGCGCTCCTTTTCCTTGAGATTGGCTCTGAGGGCTCCCACCAGAGCCCCTTTGTGAGTGAGCTCCTTACGAAGCTCTCCTAAGGTGCACTCCTGCTCCGCCAGACGGTTCTCCACATCCCGACAGTGGGCCTCCAGGAGCTCCTCTTCCTCCTGCAATTCTGACAGATCAGAAATTCAAGTGTTAACTATAATAGAATTACATGTATGTAATGTGCTCACATATATGATAAAGGGTTAACAATTTGCAAGTTCCAAGCAGTTTCTGGGCGTTTTTGGTTGGTATTCCACTTTCACTCACTGTGGCTCATTTTTTACGTCTTGAACAACTATGGAAACAACCATAGCTACAAGTAGAGAGAACTACAAAATGTTCAATTTCTTTGATTATTTTCCAAAAAATTTTAAAATCAACATGTCCAACATTTTTCTAAGAGTCAACAGTTGTTACCGATACTGGAAAAAATGGCGTGTCTACATACTATAGATATTTTTCCTATCTGCTCTGCGTAAACACAGCCTGCAGTTCAGCCGAGTTCAGCTGAAAGTCACTTAATTTTCATCATGCTGGTCACAGCTGAGTCAATCACAGCTTCACGGTTACGCCAAGGAATGCAGAATTTTTAGTTTTGTACAGAATCTGATTTACACAAGCTGTTCATTTCTGGAGTATTTTTTAATGACTTTGAGAATAAACAGATTTTTTTCCTGAAATATTACAATTTTAAGATTAGATTTGGTTAAGTGTTCTGCTTCCAACACAGTTTATTAGTTCGAAGACTCTCAGAAAGTTGAACATCCAACAGTTTTTTTTTCTGTTTTTACAGTTTTCTGGCTCTGATAAATAGTGTAATTATAGTGATATTTTAAAGATAAAGCTGCTGGAGGGTCTGAGGTTCAGAAGGTTAAGTACAGTAACTTGAACACTCTTCCCACAGCTGCTTAGATGCACACCAAACACACAGCACACACACACTAATGGAAATATAGTGAACTGTAACAAAGAGTCAATGTACTTGTCTTGCCTATACAAGCGAAGCTAAGCTTTTGTTTGGTCTCAGCAGCTCTAATCCTCAGCACATATGTTCACAGAAGCACAACTCAGAGATTGTCCAGATCATATTTTGGTTGGGATCCGATGAAAGCGGTTAACAGGACCAAGAGTGACAATCTGGAAAATCACCAGTTTCCTTTCAGAGTCCCGTGAGGATAATCTATGAGCCAGAAAATGACACAGCGTCTTCAAAGCTGGTCGAGACAGTTGTTGGAAGTGACACACATATGGGAAGAGTAATCTCCATCTCAGTCTCCAGCTGACAGAGTATACCAGTGCTGGATGATATTTAAATCTTTATTCTTCATGACCATATGTTAGGATTTAAAGAAATGTGGCTTCTAAATCAACTCAATTTGTAGAGAGAAAAAGAGAGAGAGAAAAGAAAAATCTCCAAACCAAGGCACTCCTCAGATTAAAATGTCTTTATTATATTGACATATTCTAACTGGAGAGTTAAAAAGATGTCCAGGCACAGCACTACGCCCCGAAGAAGGCACGGGCTGCTACACAGAGGCATCTTTTTAACAGTTCAGTGAGGACACGTCAATACAATCAAGACATTTTAGTCTGAGGAGTGCCTTGGTTTGGAGATTTTTCCTTTCTCCCTCTTTTTAGCTACTGAGATATTTCCATCGACACAAATGTGCACCCGAATAAAATAAGAAAGCCTTTCAGTTAAAAATCATGACCGGGATTTTCCATTCCTTACAAACATGCAAGAAACACTGGCTTTGTGAAGATTATAATGTTAGATTCCCATTCACACTTAGATAGATTTGAATGTATGTTCATTTTTGAAGCTCCTTTTTAGAGCTATTAGGGAAAAGAGAAGCTGGATTTATTTGCACTCAAACGGTAAATTAACAATCAAAATTTCTGTCGATCAACTAAATTCCACTGATTTTCCTCCTCCTGCAAGTTGCGGTTTCACATCATACAGTAAGATGTCAGTTGCTTTGTCGGATTATTATTCTTGTCCATACTGGGGAGAATATTGAGGTTACCATGATACTTGTTATTTTTAATATCAGCCTTTCATGTACTGTCATGCGCTCTGCCGCGAGCAGGCTGACTGATGCTCGTGTGCAGTATTTATGTGCAAGTGGGTGGAGCAGAGAAAGGCAGAGGGAAACAGACAGTACAGATAGCTAAAACCTGCTTTACTTCTTAACAGCGAGGCACAGTTACAGCTGCGGCATAAGCCCTTGTATAAAAGCCTGCTATTCAGTACATTCCCTCATTAAAATAGATCCTGCCATGCCATTAACTAGCAGAGACACAGTATCACTCCCAACAGAGCCACTACTTGAGGCCTTCTCTCCGACTGAATGTCTCTGCCAAGGTCAGATTTAACGCTGCTTATTGGTCTTCCTTTTTTCTTTTTTTCTTTGCCACTGTAGACAACCTTTCTGCTCTTTCATTCCAGTAAAATTCCCCGGAGAAGAGGCAACTACAAAACGAAAAGCCCTGAGTCAGTGCAGTAACCTCCGGGCTGACTGAGCTGGCGGTGGGAGATTATGTCCACAGAGGCTGGAACTGACCCTTCTGCTTATAGAAATGAGTCTGGATTTCTGTGGTATGAGAATCCTAAACGGTGATGGGAGGTTTAGCGAGTAAAACCTGGAATCCACATTAGGCTTCAGTAGTCATAGGGTTCTGCACATATTGATAAAAGCTTTGAGTCTGAGGTTAAAGCTGCTGCTTCGTATTACTTTATAGTCTCAGTTTGCTCAATTTTCCCCCTCTTATCATCCTTTTGCTTCTTATTTCCCAAATCCTCTCGTTTTCTACCTCTGTCTTCCAGGATGGACCCTCCGAGGACTGATAACTATCAGGTTTTCTGTCGCCCGTCGCCACACCCACGTTGAGCTCATACGCTAACTATAGACTACCTAATGTGATCTTCATATCCTTCCATACCCCCTACCCTCCTCCGTGTCTGCAGCCGAACCGCATTCTGCCGCCTCGTCTTCTCCCTTTAATCGCCGTGCTCTCTACCTCTCATTACGTCTCTCCTTCCACCTCTCCCTCTGTCTTTTCCTGGCTCTACATCTCTCTCAGCAAACTCTGTAAGTGGACACCCCCGCCGGGACCTCGAGGAAAAACGAGAGCAGGAGGAAGAAAAAGAGGATGGATCAATTTGTCAGGGAGGGGGGAGGGAGGGAGAACAGAGGGCTGTGCTGTATTGATGGTTTTTGAGGGGGGGTGGGGGGGAATAACCTGTCCTGGAAAAAGAGATGGGATCTAATGGCTGAGTAATGCAGCCAAGCACGACTCCTCCTTTACTCTCTACGAGCGCACACACATTTATACAGCCTCGTGATCGCTCTTGCTCTGGTCTGTCTCTAATTCGCTGTGACAAAATGGTGCCTATCTCCGCATCCAGCCACGAGCCAAACACGTCTCTGCAGCTGTGTTCATATCTTGACAGAGAGCCCACATATTGCTGTTCTTTTCACGCAGGAAAATCGCACAAATACGCGGAAACATAGGTGCACCCCTGACGTGGCTTGTGTATGGTTCGTTAAGAGGCTTTCCCCTCCTCCTCGTGGGTGAGGCGATGATGTGAGATAGGGAGGCGTGGGTGAGAAGAGGGAGCTGACAGGGATCTGTCTCCTGGGGGATGGGAGGGTGAAAGGACACAGGCTCGGAGAAATGCTCAACTGGGGGTTGAGGTCGAGTGCGGTGAGGACGAACTAGCTGCGAGAGACGTCAACACGCGACTGTCTTTGCGCATTTGGAGCTGAGGAAGGCAACAAAAATCCAAGAGGAACAAATACAGATGGATGTGCGTTAGAGGACGTAACCTACCGATCTGACTCCTGCCCGGAGGCTTCACCTTCAGCTCGCTTGTCAACTCTGAAAAAAAAACACGAGAGAAAGACAGAGAGAAAGTGAAAGAAATCGCATAGTTAGAGAATAAATACAGACAGCGCTGGAGAGTCTTATTAAGGCTGCATGCTGACATTTTCTGTTTGCAGTTGCTGGTTAACATAACAGATGCTCGATGCAGTTTCTAGCACATTTCCAGCGCGCTCATGCATAATTTATGACACAAAATCTGAAACTTTACATCAAAGACTGTGTGCCGGAGACTTACGTCCTGTTACTGTCTGGAGGAAAAAAACTTTCTTTACTGTAGAGATGTAGTAACTCTATTAGCATTTCTCACTTAAATCAATATGTATTTAACAGAAAACTGGTCACTTTGCAGCATAATGAAGAAGAAATGCAAACAAATGGAAACCCCCAAAAAAGCTGAGTAAAGTGCTGAATGGTGCATTTAAGAAAACATCCAATGAAGCTAAATAACTCCTTTGCTGGGCATTATTTGAGAATCATTTTAAATAAAAGGTGCAGTTATATACTTGCAAAGGGGATGTATGGTTTTATTTTTTAGTCATATCAGGTAAGAACAAGTTTAAAGTCTGCAGTGTATCTGACTGTGCTATTTGAGCCCCTTATGAATAATGCTATAATCTGTGAGATGGCTTTTATGTCTTGCATTAGTGAATGGCCTTTGAATCCATTTCACTTGGCCATACAAAAACAGACAGATTAGAGGGACTGGACACTCAGCAGCTTGTCTGCCTGAACTCTGGACGACAGAATTATTTCGATCAAAGCTGTTATTGAATTGCTTTTTTTTTTGCAGCAGCAGCGTAGGAAGAAGCACTCGTGGTGAAGCATGGTTGAAGCGACATGAAAATATCAAAAAATCTTGGCATTTTTAGAGGAACTTTTCATATGATTTCTTCTCATTTTTGAGAATATCACAACTGATATTTGGTGCTCAGTCACTGGTGTTGGACTATATTTCAGCAGAGTATCTGGAGGAGGAGGTTTGGGGGGGGGTTGCAGACTGCTGGTCATGTCTGGCCTGTCAATCATCTCGTTCATTCAGAGTTGCCTGACTGCAGCAGGAAAATCCTCACATTCTGGTTTTTCGGTGCACATTTCGACGCAGCGATGGGTATCACAACCAGAAATGTGTCTTTTTTCAATCACATATTCACATAATTTGGACTTAAAAATAAGGGAATTAGCATCATTCTCTCAAGTAACTCGTGTTTAACCCTTATTTAAGCTCATAAGTCAGCTCAGCTAGAGAGCTTACTGAAGCGTGCTTATATTAAGACACATGATTGGATATGTCTCACCAATTATGAGCAGGGAACTTTTCTTAAGGGAATATTTGGAACATTAAAAGACGATCTACATCACATGTGTTGCTGACTCCCAGTCTTTCTTCTCCTCTTGCTTTCCCTGTCACACCCTTTCTTCTTCCCTCTGCAGTCAGCATAACACACCCACCCATGCAGCTGGCATGAAGAGAGAGAGAGAGCGAGACAGAGTGGGTGGAGAGGGGAGAAGGGAGGAAGGAAGGAAGAAGAGGGGCATAGAGGAACCCCTGACAGGCAAATCCAGCCAGACAGACTCTCTGATTGCTGCTTTGGTACTCAGCTGTGACCGGCAAATTAGGGAGACCTCTAGAGCCCCTGTTTTCTAGTTAGTATCCTCATTCCCAATTGCCAGGAGCCTTTTTAATGAAGTTAATTTAACCACAGAAAAAAAATATTTCTCGAAACGACGGTCAAACAGTGAAAACGAGTCACTCGGCAAATTGCAACATGCAGTGTGTGTGTGTTTGTGTAATGCTTTGTAGGTCAGGCTTATCTCCTGCAGCCGAACTGAGCATTCAAGGTTTTTTTTTTTGTTTCATCGACTCAACCTTGAACGCTGCAAAGATATCTTTGAAGGGCAAACACACACATGTGCGAGCCCCTAACTGATTCCTAAGACACACAATAAACACATTAAGTCACATAAAAGGGGCCAATTTCAAAAATTGATTTCGCTCGTAGTTCAAGGAGACTGAGGCGTAAGTGCCTTTATGCTGATGAGGAAACTCCAAGAGTTCAGAACAATAAAAAAAAGAGGTCAGCAGTACAAAGGCAGAACTAATATGCACGGCAACAGCATCAGTTCAACCTTGCAGTACCCTTCCAGGCTACGTATTAGCGAGCTGGCAGTAAACACATATCACACCTGCTAACTGCATTAGCCTATCTGCATCCAGCTTTACAGCCATTATTCAGACGTTTCTACACCAAAAACAGTTCTGGAACTGACAGAAGCATTGCAAGTTACAGAAGTTATGGTCAGGACAGAGTGCTAAATACTGGATTTAAGTTTGTTTTTTTTCCAACCAACTACAATTTGTTCACGTTTCTCTTTAAATCCGGCAATAACAACTATTTTTTGTTCTTATTTCAATGACTTTTTTCTCAAAAATGTGTCTTCTACAAGCCAACATCGACATAAACAAAACAGCAGGCTATCAAAAACTACAGCTCCACCTACAATTCGGTTCCCTTTGCACACTGGAAAAATTATTTGATCTTACTTTGCCTTTAAAAGATACTGGCCTGAAAAACCTCTAAACAGATTTTCCACTCTGGCACAAGGACAACGTAAGAAGCTTTAAAGATGCTCAGCAGAAAGAGAAGATGGTCTTGTGTGTTTTTTAGTGACATAATTATGTCCCTGCAACCCCACAGAAACCTCAGAGGAATGTAGAAGTTAAAGGCGAAGTCAGCGGCGGAACAAAACGGAGAGCAGACTAGTGACACCACCAGGAAGAGGATGTATTTGTGTGCATGAGTTCTGGAGAATAAATAAATATATTTGTTGCGCCTGAGGAAATGCCGCAACTAATTTTTATACCACAAACTGCTGCGTTTTTGGAGGGTTGGCCATATTTTGTGCAGTTTCCTTGCACCAGACAAATCACAGGCACAAAACTGCAGCTCCAAAAACTCCCAAACAGTCTGTAGGAACACCGTGCGGGCTGCCATCTGCATTTACAGTGGGAGGCCAGCATAGAGACAAGTGAATAGGTGGAAACTCTCGCTCTGTTGGTGGTGTCACCACCACACACAGCTGCACTGACCAGATGTGATTGTGCAGCACAAAATGATGGAGGGGGTTGTTTTGAACACAACTGGTCACACTGGCTCTGAGCCAAAGACTCTTTCTTTCCACCTCTCTCCTACACCCTCCCCCCCTCCGCTGCATTTGTGCACCACAATCCCCTTCATATGGATTACTAAAGCTATAGGTTGTATGGATTAAACATGATGGATATGTTTGCACGCATTTTCCTAAAGGGCGTATTATGATAAGTAAATATGGTTCTGTTGGTTTTTATTTTGTCCGGAGAAAAATCTGTTCAAACACTCCCAAGTTTTTGGGTTTAGTTTTTGGATTTTAGGTTAGAATTAACATGTTTAGGTTTGTGTGTGTGTGCGCGTGTGTGTGTGTCCTCTTGCATGCTTGATTAAATGGATGGCATATCCATTAGGCCCCACAGAGGAAATGATGTAATCTACAGGAATTGTAGGATGACATCACCATGTAGCCATTGTCTTGCATTGACTGATAGTACAGACACACATTACACACATGTCCTCTTAAAATTAAACACAGCAGTTCAAAGAAAGTGATTAAAACCAGTAAAATTGTTTCTCAAGGCTCTACCTGGATAAAATCAGAAGAACATCTGGGTGTTGGATTATATTAAGCTGAAAAATTCATTTAAAAAAGGGCTATTGGACTGTTTTCTTCCCAATTCCCCATCAAGCCTGTTATTCAAAATCTTAGTAAATCCTTTTTCTCTGAGGATAAAGGGTCAGCGAGAGGGGTCCTGTCTGACTTATAAAGAGCCACAACAGCTAAAAAGAAATCGCAAGCAAAGCTAAAGGAGGATTAGTCAAAGGGATCCTTCACTTACTCAGTGGAGCTGAAACGATAAGTCGGTTATTGACAGAAAAACGTGTTCTGATAAGCAATGAATCAAAGCAAAATGATCTGATTTGTAAGGATTTGTTGCTTCCTTCATCATATGGGACAGTAAACTGATTATCTCTGGACACAGAATTTGAAGACTCAGACTCAAATTTGACATTTCATGGACTAAACAGTTGCAGCCCTACAGTTTTCAGACACAACTCATAAAGTCAGTTGTGAGAACAATCTTTTTGAAGTGTCTGATCCTTGGCTTTGTGTCCCCTCACCTGAGCATCGCTTCTGCAGGGACAGGATCTCCAGGTGGAGGCCGTGGAGCAAAGTGAGGTGCTCCTGCCTCAGGAACACCACGCTCCTCTCCACACTCTCTATCTGCCGAGACAGGCTGTTCTCATCCCCCATGGCTGAGTCTGGAGACAGAGGGAGGAGAACCAGAAAGGAAGAGGAGGCTGATTGATTTTGTGTTTACTCCAGCAGCAGCAGCAGCAGCAGCAGCATCCATCTATTATCAACATTTAAAAAAAATAAATTATAACTTCATATCACACTGTGAAGCTGCTAAACTTTCTCTGCTTGTGTCAGCCACAAAAAAAAAGAAGCTGTGAATTGAGGTCATGCTGGAGCAGCTATAAATAAGGTATTGATGAGGAGAGAAAGCAACAGAAAATGAGAAACCACGTCAAGATGCAGTGAAATCGACACAAGGTTTGCATTAGATAATAATCGACGAGTGTTACCTTTAAATTGAGGTTGAAATTGAAGAGATTTGATTCGCAAGCGTTATAAAAACGTCCTCCGTTCCGCGCATGCTGGCCTCCAGAGCTGCTCCAAATCCCGTCGGCTGCGGCAGTCACCCAAACACATCTTATCTGGAGCGTTAAAGTGCTTTTCAGCAGCATGTGACGCCGTTTGATTAGAGGAGGAAGAGGCTGGATGGCTGCGCACAAATGCAAAACCAGCAGCACCGTGCATGGCACCGCGCTCCTCTGGCACAGACGCTCCTTCCTCCCGCAACATCTGCGTCCAGCATCAGCGGGGAGATGATGCTTTCAGAGCCGTCGATACGAAAAGCCCGCGGGGGGAAAGTGCGCAGTCCATTTTTTTTTCTCTCTTTTTTTTTTTAACATGCGCACCTTTTCTTGCTCGCCCACCGACTGAGGCTCCGGGCTGCTGGATGAGCTGGGAAATGATGAAAACAAGCCATCGTGATGAGAACACGCGAGAACATCGTACGACAGAGTCAGTAGTCAGCTGATTGGAGGACTGAGCGTCGACGCTGTGGAGGATCGATACGGATCTGGTGGGAGTACAAAGGAAAACTCTGAAGTTTAACGTGTGGTTGGGAAATTACAATAATGAATCTCAAACCACGTGATCAGAAAATTTTAAATCCTACTTATTGCAAATCTGACAAGTTATACATCTTAACGCTCTGTACATTAATAATGGTGCGATTCCAGCACCACGGACAGAGTCTGCTGCAGTGGTTCTCAACATGCGGGGTGCGGACCTCACAGGGCCTTATGGTAACTGTCCACAGGGGCATTTCCGAAAATTGGAGGCTTGATGCTCTTCAAAACAGAATTGGTCCCCAACAGTCACTCAAACATTGGCTGCATCTGATTGGACAAAGCTTCACTCTTCTGCATCTGATTGGACTAAACATAACTCCTCTGCTACAAACGCGAGCAACATGGCGGTTTACTTTGAATCTTTTTCTTTTACTCCGGAAACAATGTGTTTCTTAAAACACAAGAAGCAAGGAATAAGCTATGCAGTTATTGAATCTGCCCTCATTTTAAATTATCAGTGGTTCATTTAAAAGTTTTATGAAATTTTCGCAAGGCCTCAGACCCCAGCTTGACACCCCTCATTTGCATGAAGTACCAGAGACTTCAGCTTTATGCAAATGAGGAGTGGGCAATGCTACCTCCCCGACTTGTGGAACGCACTACATCGCTATCACAATGCAATGCAGCGTGTTTTACGTAGACAATGTACAATAATGGTACATGTCCACAAGATCCGTTTCCACTTCGACACTTCAAATGTCAATAGAATCTGTGTTTCTAGACAAAAGGTGTGGCTTGGCCATTCCTCATTTGCATGAAGCTGATTTCTAGTCTACTTTATGCAAATAGTACTGTAAGCAAAAGCTTACAAACAAGTCACCACGTTGGTCTGATTTGAAATCCAGGAGCAGACAGCCTACATGAGTGAAAAGTTTGTCCAATCGGATGCAGCCAATGGTTGTGCATTTGTAGCTGTGAGGGTGAAGACTGTGTTGGATTCCAGCTGAAGAGCACATCTGACATTGCCAAGTTGGTTGCCAATCAGGACTCTGTTGTAGTACAGGCTGAAAGAAAAAAGAAAAAGTACATGATGTGGAACACATGCTATGCAAGTAGCCATGCAGTGCACTCTGGTAGCAGTGCGATGCGTTGCCAGAGACCGGGCGTCTCATTAACTGCTCCTAATTTGCGTGTCTCGGCTACTTTATGCAAATTAGTAGCATTCAATTGCTACTTGAGGTTTTTAAAAGCTCCAGAAAAACCTTTAAACAAGCTATTCGTTATTTAAACTGAAGATGTATTTAGCAACTGCAACATGGCTCAAATGTTTTTAGAAACTGTTTTTGTAATACAAATGGAAGTGAGCCACCATGTTGCCCCTGACTAAAAATCCAGGAGCAGAATCTGTGTATGTGTGTGTACTTCTGATCTGCTTCAGACTTGGCGATTGTGTTGCAAGGAACCCGAGTAAGTGCAGCGTCAAGTTTAAAGTCAGTCAGATGAACTGTGCATGAGGCATGAAATAAACTCAATGTAAATTAAATTCAAATTTCCGGTAAAAGCGTATTTCCATATCAAACGTAGAAACTTTGACAGTTCATTCAACTGCAAATCTTTTCCCCTTGTTTAGATTAGTGCTCAGATGAACATACTGGAGTACAAACACAACATTTATTTCTTTGCTCTTTATTATCACGTTAAACAAATAATGTTATCATATAAACATATGAATTGGAAATTTAATTACAAAACAATTTCTGCCAAAACATGAAAAAATAAAACTGTTATATGTACACTGCTATATATAAATGTGACAGTTTGATGCGCCAGAGAAAGCAGATGATTTTACTTTCAGAACTTCGGTTGATCTTGATTGCTTCAATACAGTATTTCAGGTCTTTTTTTTTTTGAAGTCCTCAACTAGCTGCACAGTATCAATAGTCTCCACTGTGGTGATTTCACCAGTGACCAACAAAAAAAAAAAAAAAAAAGAAAGAATGTAATTCTATAGTAAGCATGATCTGTTGTTGGTTGTGATAGAGAAACATGTATTTCCTCATTCTCTAATAACTAAAAGATGAGGACCGATACAGTCAACCACCACATTTATTGTGCATGATGAGGAACGTGAGGCTGTATGGCAACATAAGTTCCTAATCACTACCACTTTCTCTGCAACTACATCCAAAAATTGTTGTCCTTGTGTCCACCAGTCACAAATAAAAAACCAAAGCATCATCTTGAGGCTTTGGTTCAGTCATGTTTGGAAATCCAAGTGATACAGGTATCAAAAAGTGTAAGAAGTGGAGTGCAGAAAGCAGCACAATAGCTTGTGTTTTTTTGTTTGTTTTTTGGCCGATGTCCAGGAGTGTCTTTAAGACGATAATAAAAGGTGGCGTCTGGACTTGGCTCCTCGGTTTTAAGCACACAGCAACATAATGAACAAATTGCATCACATATGCATAACTCCATTACAACATTACGGCCTTATACAACACATTCACAATATTAAGCTTGCTTGTTAGACAAAACTTCAATTGCCACCAGCTGTCTTCACTACAACCACAAAGCTGCTCTAAAATATGAAACAAAGCAAAATAACATTCACAATAGAAATTCAAAAAGGGAGCTATGCTAATCTTTAAACAAAAGACAGGTAATAAAGCTTCATAAAACAACACTGTCTGCTTCCAAACAGTGTTGTTTTATTAGTGCAGGGATTTAAATTAGCAAAATGGTTCAAATTGTGGACTGGTGCTGTTACTTCATCAGCTCCAGCTTTAAGTGCTCGCATCAGATTTTATAACTTGGGTGTGATGTTTCCTTTGAACTGACAGCAAGTCTGTACAGTTGACATTCTGAATGTGCTGCTGTGTTTGTAATGTGGTCGGGCAGTTTGGTTTTAGGCTGTGAACTTCAGCAGATTCAAATTGAGATGACTAAGAGCTCGCCCTCACAGAGAAAATTGTATCTGGTAAAAAAAAAAAAAAAGTGGCAAAATGCCCTCCAACATCACTTACATGATCACATCAGCTTCACTAAAAATCATCATATTCTTTTACGACAGGAAACCTCATTGAACATTGTGTTCATTTCATCTTTAATCCACCACTTATTTGTGGCACAAATAAATTACAAAAATAAACAATTAACCAATCAAACACGGATTATACACACACAAAAAAGCAACGACGCAAAGAAAAAAAAATGGCATCAAATATTTTCATGACATATAAGGACTGTGACGTTTTAAATCGAAAGACTAGGCAGCCGTGTGTGTAACAGTTTGCTGTATTCACAGATCTCAGACCTGTTTGTTCCAGCGCACACCTCAGGAACTTCTCCGCATCTATCTGTGCACGCAGGCAAATTCCGATTGAAGGCAAGGATGGCACAGATGTAGAAAAAAAAGTTAGACAATACAAACATCTCTGGTGGTCTTGGTGGTGTTGAGGTCACTGAGGTGATGTTAAGGAATATGCTGTCCTCCATAAGCTACACGAAGAAGGGCAACTCCTGCCTGTCTGAAAGCTCCTACTGCAGACTGTACACATCACAGTATGCTAGAGGAATATATATACACTTTATGAAAATATTAATGGCAGTTTGTTATACAGCACTGTCTACATTGTTTTACTCGTTTTGTTTTCCTGTCATTTCATATGGTTCAAGTGTACTCATAAAAGCAGCAGCCAGTCCAGCACACAGTCTACAACACAAGTGAGCAGCATCACCTTAATGTTCAATTATTCAAAGTTGTGTCGCCCCTTAATTATTGCAGTATTTCTGTGTTGAAAAGTAGAGTATTTCCTTGTATGAAAAGCCAAAAACAAACGCGTTGTAAAAACTAAATTGAAAATACAGGCCCCAAAGCAGAAACTCAGTGCAACAAATGTAAACACACCTGTAATCACCAACACAAAACTGGGTACAACTATGATTTCCAATTAGCCTAAGTGTATATAAATGGTTAAAATTTGGCCTGTGAATGCAAGGACAGTCTCAGTTTTGAAACTATGGGCTGTGTCTAACTGTACATCTGCATCATGGCTCCACATGGGAAAAGAATAGCCAGTGGAGCAGAAAATCTGACACATCTGAAGTGACACCAGGGACAGCGGCACTACTGATGAAAAACAGATGGACAAGTGCTACAGACTTGACAGAGGGGTTATCAAAGGAAATCTGAGTGTCTGTGACAAGCTCAAACTGTTTGAGGGCAAAATGTCAACCTCCATGGACGGCATTTAAGACGAAAACCCCTTGCTTGCTGTCTGGCACTTTACTCCAAGATGAAGATTCGCTAAAGAACATGCAAATAAGCCCAGTGAATGCTGGGAGCACATTCTTTGGTCAGATAAGACCAAAGTGGATTTGTTTGGCTCAGATGCATGTTTTGCACACATCTGACCAGGACTTCCACAGTGAATGCATAGTCCCTACAGTGAAGCACGGTGGTGGAAGTGTAGCGATATGGGGCTGCATGAGTGCAAAAGGTTATGTTTATAGATGTCACCGTGAATGCTCATGTGATATATCAAAATACTGGCTGACAAGATGACTCCTGAGCTGCAGAAACTTCACAGAAGAGAAATATTCCAGTACTATGCTATATTATCTAAAAATAACGGTGGACATACAAAGTATTGAAAAACTAAAAGATTAAGCTTTTACTCATGAAAAGACTTGTTGCACAGAGTCCCTGTATTTTTAATATAATAAATCTAAGCTGTTAATTTTAATTTCACAAAGGAGCCAACACCCTACTGTTCCATGTAGAAATGATGCAATTACTGAAAGGTGATACAATTTTGAACCATGTGACATGTAAGTGATATGACACAGGGGTGATCTCACTTCTGTTGTAAACTGTATCTGAAAGCAACTGCTGACGGACAGTGATGTCACCGGTGATTGCTGATGGGAGGTCGGGTGGGACCCTCTCTCCCTTTTTGCTATTGCAATTGATCCATGAGCTAATCGAGTCAGAATCTACTCGGTGTAGTTTTGTTCCTCCAAGATTCACTGACACAAAGATCTGGTTGGCGGACAGTGCCGTTGCCATACTTGCAGGGCACAAGCTTTTTAAGGGTTGTACTGTGTAATTCCAATGTATGTAAACCCTGATATCCCTGATTTATTCATGTTTTTCCAAATTCTCATAATACAATTTGGCAAAACATACCATTGTTAGAATTGTTTGGCTATCGAATATCATGCTGTTTTGAACTATGTCATTAAAGTAAAATCTGTTGTTTTATTTTAATTTAGTATTCATTCCTCAATCTATTCTCTTGCTAAATGAGGATTTGTATTTGTAGGATTTCTTCAGTCTACACAGACAAAAATGTTCTCGTTATTTATCATTTTCTTCGCTAACAACAAAAAAAACAAAACAAAACTGCCAAGCACTGACAGCAAAGCTTGTGTTAGAAAGAGGCAAAGAACTGTTACAAGTCCTCTGAGGTAGCAGGCGGTTTTTAGATGAGGAGATTTGGTGGAAAAGACATTCACCACTGCAGTGCGAGTGTTAAACATGAGAGTTTCGATTCCACGGAGTAAAAACTCTGTGGAAATGTAAAACTCTGAGATTTTAAATATCCCAAAACAGCATAACGGGTATATAACATACATAGATACATATATATATATATACATATACATATATATGAATAAAAGGTTATTATCATAATGCATCTTAAGATCTATTATATATACTTTCTGTTTCCCATGGCTTTATATGTGGGTGTTGGAGGGTTGCTTTTATGAACAGTGTGTCTTCACTTATCAGCTACATTTTAGTATAGATTTATCTGAAACACCCTGTGGGATAATAAGGCGTTAGGTGTCTTTTTACAAGGCCTCTTAGTGTTCAGGTGACGATGCCTGTAGCACACACGCGCACAAGCCAAACCTATCAAAACTACAACTGAAAGGGAAAGTAGCTTTCAGCATTACGGATGTGATCAGTATTTGAAATGAAGCCTTTTGATTACAGTTTAAGTACCTGTACAGTATAAGAGATCCACAGATTCCTCTGTCTCCCAGCTATGAATATATTTTACACACAGGCAAAACAGTACCAAATCTCAACCACAGGGCGTTAATATACAGTAACGAGTGTGTGTGTGTGTTTTTGAATCTAATCCTTCTTGTGTCTCTTCCCATTCCTCCTCTCTACATCTCTTTCTCTTTCTTCGCCTCCCGAGTGCTGCTCTTTAAAAAGTCGCTCCTGAGCAGCCGACAGAAGAGGACAATATTCATAGCGGTCATGATGGCCATACCCACGCTGCCCAGCGTGTAAGCCAGGAGAGGAACCTTGTCCCTGTTGAGCACCAGCCAGCGGGTCATCCAGGCCAGCGTGTTGATGCGAAACACCACGTATGTTCCCAGGTTGATCATGCTGTTGATGCGATACTGTGTACCTTTGGCAATGTTGGACATGCGCAGCATCTGCCTGAGGTGGAGGAACACAGAGTTTATCTCCACCAACAGGGCAACCACGGCAAAGCCCACGTAGCGGCATGACACCACAGAGAGGCCGAAACAGGTGATCACCTGCAGGGGAAGACAGAGAGGAAGAACGTTACAATAGCTGTGACAGAGCATTCAGAAACAAACTTTGTGAGTCAATTATGTTACTAGGCAACCATGTGAACCCCCAAACCTGCTGGTGGGGTATCAAGAAAAAAATAAAAATAAAAAAATGGAGACAATGACACCATTTATCAAAGCAGGAAACTGTAACTTAAGGACTTTGACAGTCCTTGAAGTACTCATCTGTGACATGTTGTTCTGATACAAAAATGAACCAAATCTAAGCTTAAAATCCTGACATTTGATTAAAATGGCTTCATTTCATGCATCTCATTTAAAAATTCACCAAAAAAAAAAACTGCAAAGCACTTAAAATTATGTGCTACAGAAGCCAAGAGGTCATCAGTGACTTGGCTGCAACCAACAGTTACATGACAACATGTAGTGTCTTTTCTGAACTGTTACAAACTCAAAGTGTTGTGAAGTTTAAAAAAGAAAACAACATGACTAAAAGACAAAACTATATAAAGTAATAGGATAACTTAATGTACAACATAATAATAGATGAGGTCAGGCTATGTTTACATGGAAGTCATGTATGGAAACAAACTGATACCGTAAATAGTAAAATATTAAAGCCTGTGGAGCCCCCATTTTGTTTCACTGTATTGGTAGCAACTGTGGACACTTGGAAAAATGTTATGCATGCTGATTGTAGTTTTGTTCTTTTGTTTTATTTTTTTTTTCCAATTTCGGTAAAATAAATAAGAAATTCAACTTTAATTTTAAAAAATTATTTATGGCATTATAGCTGTCATAATGCAGAGACGTGCTTTAGTTCTCTCTTCTTCTAAACAGGGTTGTGCTGTTTCCATAGAGGTGCAGGACTTTATACTGCAGTGAAAAATGAGCCGACTGTAAATAAAAAAAAACACGTCAGGAGCAAAAACGCAGCCAGAGACTGCTTGGCGTTCAGAGGATTAAATCTTTGGATGATCAATGTTTTATTTGCTTTCATGTAAAAACTGCTCTTACTGCTGACCTGTTAATCAGTGCAAAGTGTGAAACTCTTGCCAAGATTAGGTAATGGTTATCTCACCCTATCATCAGATTCTAATGCTAAGAAGGTGATGACGTTAACTTTTACATGTACTTATTGCTGCTCTTCCTGTGATTTCTTCCAGCGCTGTTGTCTAAATGCTATCCTTCACCTCTGACAGCATTTCATTTCATAACCGCGGGGAAAGTGGCCCCTCCTTCAACTCATTTCTGTTGAGCAGTGCTTATGAAAGTCTGTGATGTAACTAACTGATAAACTCCACAAGGTGGCAGCAACCTCTTTCAAAACCAGACTGAAAACAGTAGACAATTCAACAACTCCTTACTGCTGGCATTACACCAAAGAGTTACTGGGAAAAGGATTATAGAAAGTATGGGATATGTTGTGACAAAAATAGAAAGCTGTTGTCCAACTCATAGCAGCTGTGTTTCAGGTATAAAATCTGGTTGACAGAAATGTGTTTACACCAAAACAGACTGTTCAGCCAGCTCTCCGCGGGGGCTGGCACCCACCAGCACCGCCACATTCACCAGCTTCCATCACACACTCGGAGCTTGTACTTTCAGACTTTGTAGCACCCAAACTGGCATGTTTATTCATTATCCTTCAGGACCCTGACACCCATTGGCAGGTTTTAATGGTGTGTTATCTTCTCTTTTATTCAAAATCACAAAAATTACACCATTAATCAGAGCCAAAAATTGTAAAAACAAAAAAGAAATTGGGGGTTTTCTACTTTCAGATGGTCCTTGAACTACTCATCTGTGCCTTTTTGTTGGACAACTAAATCCAAGTGTCAAATCATGACATTTCATCATTTTACTGTACATTTGCCAAAAATAAACTGGTTGCAAAAACCAGAATCCCCCCTGTGTTTCTCAATGATATCAGGAAGTCATATCTGACTCAGCTGCACCCGACAATCGCATGACAAAATATTCAGGGGCTTTTTGGCTGAACTGGGCTAAACTGCAGGCAGTGTTTAAGCGGAACAGATCGAAGATAAACAAGAAAACAAAATGAAAACGTAAGCAGTTAAATATCTACATGTAGAGTCACTCTGAAAAACACTGTACCTGTTGATTCCAGACTTTCCCAGTTTTCTAATGATATAGGTTATATTAGAACTGTGTCAAATTGAACAAAAGACATTCTTGAGTTCTCTCTCCACCTAGCCAGGGTTGCTCTGTTTCCACAAAGGTGCAGGACTTTATATTTCTGTGAAAATGAGCCCACAGTGTGTAAAAATGTGGCAGGAGCAAAAAAAATACATCCAGAAAGAGCATGTGGTTTAGGGGGTTATTAAACAATGGTGGCAGTGGAGGGGAGACGGTGAGTGAAGAGCACTAGCAAGTGAAGTCTCTGATTAGTTGCTACAGGTCATGGGATGCAGTGTGGTGTGAGAGCATGAACTTTAGCATCAGTCACGGCTCAGCTGGTGCATCTTGTGGTTGTGCATTGTGTTTGACGAGACGTCACAGGATGCCCTCTCAGATGCAGCAAGAACTCATGGGGCAAGCAGTCGTAGGTTTAGGTAACAAGGCGTGTGAGGAAAGTCGACAGCAGCTGTCAACACCGTCACTAACTGCACATGTTTAGTGTTACATTATTAGGCAACACAGGGCCCCACAGTAGCTCACAGCAAATAAGCTTCACTATGCAATCTAAAAAAAAAAATCCTCTCAAGGATTCAAGTGTTAACCAAAGCAGAAACTCTGACCTGTAAGTGATGCTGAAGATCACCACAAATAATCCAAATAATAATTTGAATGCAGCTTGAGCACACCCACCTACCTTCGACACCGCCAAAACACTGTAAACCTAGTTGCATTACTGGAGTAACTAAGCCAGACATGTTCGAACTGGACACAGTTTATGAAGAACAAAAGTGGATTGCACAAGGTCGCTTGCAAGTCAGCGTAGCAGGTAATGTAAGTTATGTATTGCACATAATGATATCTGAAAGGGTCAGTCTCTCATATATGATTTGTCTGATTGAAGAGTGTGAGGAGAAACGCTCAGAAGAAGACCATATTACTGCAATAAGAGCAACTTTCTTATTGCTCACCATTCGGAACAATTTGACTGGTTTGATATTTTAACGATTTGTGTATTTCAGTCAGTAGTTTTTGTTTCAGCCATAATTTACACAGTGCATTTTCTGTTTTTTGGTATTCTCGTGTTTTTCTGCTACTTTGTCTTCACAGAGAAGTGATTTGCCTCTTTTAATGTAAAATTTTCTTTCTATTCCTTCTGTTTAATGGCAGTGTTCTGTTCCGTTATTGGGTTTCTGCTCATTGTCACTGTCTCACTCGGATCTTTCCTCCTCATGGATTGGATTTCCACAGTCCACTTTTCTAACTTCTGTTCCTGCTCAATACATTTTTTTGTTTGTTCGTTGAACTTCTCCAGTTCATCATCTACGGTTTGTATTTCAACTTTGAGTGATGGAGCTCGTTTTTTTTTTTAAATTTTCCACAGCTCTCTCACACTTCTCTTTCATTTCAGCTGTCTTCTGAGGTCCGTCCTCTTGGTCTTTTGAGAATCTTGTGAGCTCTTCCACCTCCTCCTACAGCTGCCTGCATTCCTCCTTAGCCTCTGCTTTCAAGTGTATTACAGCCAATTCATGCTATTCTTTCAGTTTGGTCACAGTTTTGGTGTGATGTGACTTCAAAGTATCTAACTGCTCCTCGTATTTTGAGCTGACTTCAAGAGATGAGTTTTGGGACTTTGTTGAACCTCTGAAGCTGTTTCTCTTGTGGCCTTACGGTCTCTCGGAATTCCTTCCCCTCTCTTCGAGCAGCTTTGTTCTCTTCCTGGAGAAGGGTATTTTTATCCCTAAGGGACTCTATTTCCACCTTCAGAAAAAAAACATCTTTCTCCCCCAATGCCCTGATCCTCTCAGATTTCTCTTTCCGTCAGTTCAACAACCACAAGTGGAATTTGCGAGCCTTTTTTTTCACTTGTTTTGTGTCCATACGCTGTTTTTCAATGACCAGATCTTTGAAAACAAAAAATTCATTACCAAACAGACTAACATGGAATCCCACCAGCAGCCAATATTCGGAAATATCATTAGGACAAGTTAACAAGGTTAAAAACTTGATTTGCATCAGGGGTGGTCTTTAGAACAAACAGCTGCTCTAAAATCACTATAAATTCTTCAGCTAAACAATAAAAACATTTGTTGTCTATTCTCACTCTCTCACTCTCTCACTCTCTCACTCACTCACACGCACATGGAGTAATTAGAGTACAAATTAAAGTCTTCACCTGTTGTCCGGTTATAATGACAGTAACTACAAGCAATTACTCAAACAGTAACACTGACGACAGCGAAACCACTTCATTTAGCAAAACAAACAGCCTCCCTCATCAGAGTCATCATGTTGAGAGGGAAACACGACGCAGGTTTTTTCAGTACAAAGAAAAAAACCAGTGCGCACACACACAGGCACTCACAAATAGGTGAGTTCACGGTGCAGTGTTGGTGGATCACTCTGCTGCGACATTCCTCTGTGGTAGGACAGGTGTCTCTATGAGGTGCTACTGATGCTGACTCTGAAAACCTCCTGGACAAACAAGGTGTGTCATGACACCCTGTTATCAAAGTCATTGAAGCAGGCCACAGCAAACAAACAATCAAACTGGTAACTATGGTTTTTCTAATCACTGGATAGGTAAGCAACGATAACTCAACTTTTTTTCAATGTCTCTTTTAGTGACTTTGCTGTCAGAAATGGGACCTAATAATCAATGTACCATCTTAGCACACTTCTACAAAGAAAAACAGAAGGAGGAGATCCTAAAAATTGCAAGTTTTCAGTATCTGTAGTGGAAAACGTTAAAGTCAGTTTGCATATCTGTATTTTGTTTCTGGGTTAGACTGAAATAACATGAGATCCAGAAGTCTTTGTTTAGGACAGAAACAGAACACCGTCATGCTGAAGACTAGTATGCT